ATCTGCGAACAATCATCGATCATCGATTTTGTAATTGGTGGGAGATGGGCATCTACCCGGCTCTACCCCTCTAAAACATCAAATGTCTTACAAAATCGACGGGTGATTGGTGGAAGATGGGCATCTACCCGGCTCTACCCCTCTAAAACATAGATAATTGTTAGAAGTTCTTCCTTGTCTTAAAAATGTCTTACAAAATCGGCGGGTGATTGGTGGGAGATGGGCATCTACCCGGCTCTACCCCTCTAAAACATAGATAATTGTTAGAAGTTCTTGCGTGTCTTACAAAAAAATTGCCCTATTTATGGGTGCTCTGCCCTATTTATGGGTGCTCTGCCCAAAGGCACACATCATGGCTGGCGTCGGAAGCTATTTTTAGACCCCGAGGCCTACTGCTAGCAGCGTCAGCGAGGCAACACGCGAGTGCACACAAGTCAGATCTCTGTCTGCGGTCTCTTCGTCTGCCGGCCGATCTTTGCTTCCACAACAGACGCACCCAGAGACAAAGACAAGTGAGACGTACACGGCGCTGTAAGCCAAGGGCGGTCCAGGCCAATTTTTAGAGCCCGTTGCCCTCTACTAGTAGCGAAAGCGAAGAAAGCAAGTGCGCACCCACATGCAGCAGCAGCAGCGGCGGCGGCAGCAGCAGCAGCAGCAGCAGCAGCAGCAGCAGCAGCAGCAGCAGCAGCAGCAGCAGCACTGCTGCCGCTGAGCTGATGATGATGAGAGCTAAACAGCGCTCCCATTCATCCCCTGACTGACTGGTGGTACCGGGTGAGGTGTGAGCGTGCGCACTGGTGACCTACGTGGTGGGGTAGGCTCCGTCCATGTCTATCTGCGCTTGCTTTGATGTCTCTCTCCGACCCTTCTTTTCGCGCTTCGCGCGAAATAATTTAATTTCTTTTTGTTGGACCCATGTGTATGGGAGGGGAGCCGACTTTTCGTTGAAGCGGCACTAGGCCCGCAAAGCTGTGCTTTTTTGTGGGTGAGCCGATTCCATCGGCAGCAATAGGCGGCTAGCAATCCCTTGAAATGAGTGAAGAAGGTGGATTATCTCACGGTGGATATCAGACCCCCCCTAGCGACAGTTTGTGTGAATGATGAATACTGGTGCCAGGGTCATATGTCGCTGGGTCGTTTGGGTTGTGGTATAATTCCTCAACCGTGTGGCGGATGGGGGGAGGGGTTGCATTTCCAGGAGGGGTGATAATGACGTCCCTTTGATCTGAAGCACGTGCACAGAGAAATGGATGAAGTAAACGCGTTATCGCAAAGCAAACCTGAGAACAAAAATATGGGTGCAGGCTGCATGCAATGAACGGGACTGAATCAATTGATCAACAGCAAGGCAGTTATGGAAAGCCCACCAGAAATTCAACCCTCTTCGAACCGCAGCGGCTGACTAACCCACAGCAGATACATAGCACCCGCAATTACAGTATACAGTAGTGGCACCTCTAGTTCTGGTCGAGGCTGGGGGCTCTTAGTTCCTAGGGTCACATAGGCTACAAATGACCGCTGTATAGGTTTCCATGTTCTAAACATTCCTCACAAAAAATGCTGACGTTCTTATTTTATTTTCGAGCATGAAGTTCTCAAGTGCCTAACTCATAAGTTCGCGCACTAAGTAGTGTAAAGCAATTTGTTGCAAGTTGTTGCTTACAGGATGTTTGACAGAATTCCTTGCTTCAAATCTAGCGGTATAACATAACGTCAGTGTACTCAGTAGCACCGCCAATCTGAGAGAACGACATCTTGGCCGCAGAAGCCTCACATGGGAGCCTTGGCATTAACAGCGGCAGGCAGAGGACTATCAGTCGGAGAAAGACACAGAAGATTGCGGCCCGGTGCTGTCGTGAGCCACCCCTTCACGAGACGTTAGGAACTTCGTCCACCTTCATCCTGCTGTTGGTGCGTGTGGTCAGGTCATGGCATGTCACGATCTCCTCTTACTTTGCACCTGACTCTCTTTCCCATTGGCTCTGCGTGGTTCGAAACCAATGTGCGAGCCAAGAATAGGCCAACTGAGTTTGATGACCCGTTTTTGCCAACAGAGTCATTCCGTTGTTCTTTCTCGGAGTGTGTCTGCACGTTCAGTTCAAAGGTGTTGACAACAATACATGCATGTGGTCACACTTGTCACACGTGTGCATGGGACCCCTACACTCTTTGTGCCCCGTCGCCTCCCCCCCGTCATGTCGTCTTTGCGTCTATCTGCCCTCTTGTCGTCTATCTGCCTGGCTGTATGTCTCTCTGGCTGCCTGTCTGTTCGTCTGTCCGTCCGCCCGTCTGTGTGCCAATGCTGGGCGTGGCAGAACCCAGGACGGATTGGCGTTCATACGGGGGAGGGTACGCAGCCTGCGGAAACAGCTCAGGGTCGATGATGATTCACAGAGCCGGCTCACGCTTGGTGAGAGCATGGAACACCGCAGGAGATGTGTCGGTGGGGACCCATGGTTCGAAACCAAGATGCTTGAGTAATCCCTTACGATTTTGTGCCCGCGTTCGGCTGCTGAAGTAGGTCACTGCGTCGACCATTTTTCCAAAGCTTGTCGCCAAGACCAGTGTTGCACATCTGCCGTCTGCACACTCTCAGATCACTCGTGCTGCATGCCCAGTGCGGTAGGCTTTAGTGCCCCTCCCATGATGGTGTGCCGGACTATGCACGTGCTGGTGTCTCTGTTTCCCAGCAGTTGGAAGGATCCGAGAATACTGATGGTGGTTTGGTGTCTCCCACAAAGTCCCGTTTGGTGTTTCTTTGTATGTGGCAGTACACAGGTAGCTGCTCCTACACACGTCAACTGATTCGTAATTGCATTGGTTCACCCAAATAATCATGAGTCTAGCATTTCCGAGCGAGATGGATGGGGTAGCCCGACGCTCTTCCCCCCCCTGCTCATCCATCCGGCACAGCGCTGTATCTAGAGAAGATGGGCGATGACTATCTCGAAGAGGCGCTGGCGGAAATGGACGGTGCCTTGGCGCGAATGCTGGGGTAAGAGCAGATTCGTGCATGACTGAGGTACCGCTCGCGCGGGCATCCTTGACCGTTCTCGAGTGTGGAAAACCTGGGAGGTCTTCCCCAGGTCAATCATTTTATATGTTCGGAAACGTCCTACCAATACCCTGACCTGAATATCAACATACATCCCCGATTCTGACGGTGTTGTTCTCGTGGCAGGCGTGGAAGCGGCAACAGCGATAATGGATGGTCTAGGAGTGAGCGGTCGCGGCTAGCGAAAGCCGTTGATTCTCTTCGAGTGCGACGACGCGCCTTGCTGAAAGCGCGCGATTCACGGGCGACGACGTCGTCCTCACCGGCGATGCACGAGTCGGCAGGGTTTGGCGCGTCGGCGGACGTAGGCCGTGGCATCACACCGGACTCAAGCGGCGGTCGGAAGAGACAGCGTCCGGGGAGATCGCCGGAAGACAATGGCCTCGGCGGAAGTGAGGGGTCGCCGCTACCGCGGGTGCCGCTACCGCGTGGTCCTGCCTGTGTGCGTTTCCAGGCTATTGATGAAAGGTAATTGCCCGCTTGAGTCCGGTATCCGGCAAGTCGAGCACAAGCGTGGTCGCAAGCAGGATGCTGTGGAAGAGGTTTTGTAGAGACTGTTCCGTTGTGGTGCCCTCCGGTTGTGGCGTAAGTTTGTTATTGTCATTCGCCCTGCGCGATTGTGTTGCTGTCAGCCCCCCATGTCATCGTGGAAAACCGACTTCAACCGCTGGAACTTATCTCAGGAGTATGGACCAGAGTCCAATCGCCAGCAGTCATCCGAGGTTTCTTACGAATATCCCCCGCGATACTCGGATATATATCCCGGGGAGGGACGAATTCTTCCCATGGGCTCATTCCAACGGAATTTTTCATCAATGCCTGGGGACTACCACAACACGTTCCAAACCCTGGGTGCCCGCCCCTGTGGTGATCTCTCCTTTGCGTGTTTTTGCTCGCGTTTTTGCCGCGCTTGCCTGCTGTTCACATCATGGCACGTAGAATGGCGTCGACTCTGAGCTACGAAGACTTCATAGAGACATACGCGCTACGTGGGCGCCCCGTGGTCCTCAAAGGTGGTGCGAGCCTGTGCTTTGAAGAGGGCAACGCTTGGAGTCGAGAAGCCTTGCGGGTGGAAGCAGGGCACAAGGTAGCTGTGATCTCTAAAGTGTCATATCGTACATATATGTAGGACTTGAGTGAGGAGTTGCTTGCTGAAATACTCACTCGCTGGCGAGTGCCGGCTGCTGCTGTACGTATGGCCGCCAGTTGTGTGTGCGTGATCCGCCTTGCTCAACGAAGGGAAGTTTCAGCTTTTCTCTGCTGTGGAGGTGTATTGAATTGATTTGGCGTCAATGGCATGTTTATTTGTAGAGGATGGAACAAAGTTCAGCGGCAATACTGGCAGTACAGGAACACAGGAACACACGCGTTGGCAACCGAATCATATGCCGGGAATGAATGTGTTGCGCTTTGACCTCAGCAGTGTATTAAGTGGCACGGGGGGACGAATCGCGGCGCAGGTAGTGCCGGTTCGGCGATGGGTGCCCGACTCAGTCAGCTGGGCGAGGCTGGAGAAGGCCGGCCAGATGCCACTCGAACGACTCCTTTCGCAACCTGCGACAGACACCACGAGCGGACAAGAAGGCGCTGGCAAAGGCACCGGAGAGGCTGCCGCATGCGGTCAAATCGAGATGGACGGAGGCGACCCGTTGTACCTGCACGATTGGTCCCTCCCGCAGAACCTGGGTGTGGCAAGTCCGCTCCTGGCAGGAAAATTTCGGGTGTGATTTGCGGCAGGCACTTGTCGCTCGTTTTTGTTAGTTAAGTGGTCTAAGATTTGGCAGTTCTCGGCCATCGAAGCTGGCTCGAGAGTAAAAAGTGGTTCGGTGCCTCACATTTTACGTAAATTGTTGGTTGGTTTGCACGAAGCGGTTGAATCGACTGTTGTTGCGTGCATCTGTGTGTTTTTGTGTACTCCGCATAGCGTCATACGAAGGGGTGTCAGCCAGTTCCGTCATGCCGGCTCTGCTTTTCTCCCCGCCGACGTCGTAACGATGGTAACAGGTGCCCAAGTTCTTTGCGGGTGATTTGCTGCAGAGACTGGCCGGACGAGGGTTACCGTACACAGATAGGTGGGTTTCTACACCGATGAAAGCTTGTGTCGTACAGCGTGGCCTAGAGGTAAGGGGGGGGTACGGTATAGACCTGCTCGAGAGGCTTTCGGCTGCATGGTGGACCCGTCAAAATCGCGGAAGGTTTCGAGGTTTTCTACACCCACTGAACTTCGTTTGTTTATGTTCGTCTTCTGATGGTGGCAACTTCTCCTTCTCGCGAGCTGTGGATCAGACATTCCAAACCATGTTACCTTTGCCAGATGCTGAATACATATGTGGTTGTGATATTTTGCTTGTCGAACGGCAAATGCATCCCGGACCTCCAACTTGTTCATCAATGGTTCTGCTGTTGTGCTGCTGTTGTGCTGCTGTTGCGTTGTTTCTGCGTCTCGCAGCTGGCCGAGCCTTTTCATCGGGCCTAAAGGCAGTCGAAGCGACACGCACATCGATTCCTTCGGGTGAGAACTGGAAATGCTCGGGAGGCAACGCCGCTGTGCGTGCTTGGACCAAACGTGGCATGGACTAGCAATGGTAGAAGCCGGGAGACGCCTTTGAGTCAATTCTCCCCGAGTTGCTGGACTCGGTTCAACAGAGCAGACGATGTTGCGCGAAAGTGACACTGGCAGGGTATTTGAGTCCGTTCGTGGACTTTCTGGTACTAGCCGTGTGTGATCACCCACCTCATGGACACACCTGCCAATATTCAGGTCGCATTTTTGGATGGCCCTACTCGAGGGCAAGAAGCGATGGCTCCTGTACCCGAAAGAAGAGGCCCCTCTTCTGTACCCGATTTGGCCGGAGGGCTGCCACGACCCCGTCTTCGAAGCCGACTTGGACAACCCGGACGCGACTCGAACACCTGCAGCACTGCTGGCGAAAGGGTTTTCTTGCGTCCTAGAAGCTGGTGCGAGCCTGATTGTATTTACGCTCGAGAGGCTCTTAGCGGTTGTTTGTCGAACGTTCTCAAGTTCATGTTGCTGCGTGGATGCCCGTCGTTTGCGAAGGCCATAGTCGATGCTGGCAACGCCATCCTAGCGCGCCAGGACGTGTTTCGACTGAGCACGGTGTATTTCGTACATGATGCTGTCGGTCGCTGAGTTGATCTGCTCGGTCTTGTGCTTGCCCGGCTTGATGAGCACGTAGTAGGGAGACTCTACACGTACTCAGATTGGCACTGTAGCGATCTAGTTTGTCTCATTGCTGTCACGTTCGGAGGCGTGGCCCCACAAATTCCCGTGCTACTTTGATGTCGCGGAGTATGCCACGGTGTCCCTTTAAGAGACGCACGCTTCTTGTTGCGCTTGCGACCAGGTGACCTGTTATTTGTGCCGGCTGGCTGCCCGCACCGTGTGGAGAACCTGACAGGCACGCTTGCTCTTTCGTGCAACTATGTGGACGCTACCAACATCGACATGTCACTGGCAGCCCTCCAAGACCAGGCGAGAACATCAAAAGCTTTGGCAGAAGATGCAGCGGAAATATTGCTCTTTCTCCCTCGTCGCTCTCTTGTCCATACCTGAACGCGCTATTGTCAGACGATTGTTTCACCAAACTTCAGTTTAGTTAAACACTTGCTGTTTCGTTTGTCTCCCCGGACATTCATTAAAACACGCATGCTCAAGCCATGGTTGCCTGCTCTGCGGTAGCGACGACGTGTCTTCAGGGTTAAGCGTGCCGAAAAGCGCGAGAACCCGGCAGCCACGCCAGGTTGGAACCCTCACTTGTTTTAGGACTACGTGGACGTTAGCGCGACCGCATCAGGCCCGGCCATTGGATACCCGTCACTATTTAGCCCATGGCAACGTGAACCCTTCTTGTCGTCGTCGCCTCAGGCCTTTACGGACCCTCAAGCTGCCGCGCTGGCATCAGCTCTGGGCAATTGCAACCGAAAGTTGGCCCGTCGACAGGAGGAAGTGCCGTGGACGATGCTCAAGAAATGGCCACGAGAAGGCGAGGTTGCTGAATGGCTGCCGAACCCCCGGGTCCAGTAAAATGGGGATCTGGTGCAGCTGTGCAGTAGGTGTCCCAGGAGACGCCGAAGAAGCTGGTTTTCCGAACACGCCCAGAAGCCGGCTAGGTGCTTTTTAACCTTCGATCCGGCGTTGTGCACGCCCGGCGACCGTCGACGGACCAAGTATTCTGAAAGGGATGTTTGGCTGTAACATGACGGAACCTTCGTCCTTGCCGTCAGGGAAGGCACCTGTGGGCAAAGACACGATGACTTCCCCGGGATGAAGATGACGCGGTCTTCGGTCACTGGGAGAGCACTGTTAGAATCTCGTCAGCGGGCCAACGACAGCTAGCCGCATCACCATCCACTCGAGGCCATACCAAGAAATCTAAGCCGCGAAGACTCGAAGCACGTGCCGCAGCAGGTGACATGTATTGTGGCTAGGGCGACGATTAGGTTGCCATATTGACGGGTCAAGGTGTCACACACCGGTGGGAAAGCGCTGCAAATGAGACTGATCGTCTTTCTCAACGAGAACCAGCGGAGGCACGAAGAGGACATCTCTACTGGCGCTGTATCCCCCATCGAAGAACAGATACAGGAGCCTGGCGCGTTCGGCCAACCCCAAGAACAGCGAAGACGTTGCCATGTTCTCAAGTATTGCCGTCTTGATGCGCTAGTGTCACTCCAAGCTACCGTGCAGTGAATCCTTGTTCGTTAAACTCGACTTCCTGGTTAACGAGGCGATCCCCCTCGTGATCACAGTGAAGGCTTGCTAACCGAGGACTGCTTCTGTATGACACTGGTGGTTGCTTCTCAGCCTTACGTAGATGGAAAGACCTTGGGGTCACAAAATACTGCCGGGAGAAGGTCATGAAACCCTACAAATACAGGTGTTTTTCGACGGAATCAATGGACGCTACCGTAACGCGACGATGCGACCTGCAAGATATAGAAAGCTAGACCCCACTTCTTCGTGTCGGCGTAGACGCGGTCCAACGCTTCTACGAGAATACCCTAGGACGTCGTTCTTACTATAGCACCTTCCGTTGGGTCTGCCCCTCCACCGGTATTGACCAGCTCCGAAAGCCCCGGGCGAACATCAGCGTCGTCGAACGATACGTTGTCAGGGAGGCCAAGCTCACTGCGGAGGTCCCAAAGTTGCTTCTCCCTCCACTACCTTCCACTCCTCCACGAGGTCACAGTAGCCGCGGGCTACGGCCACCCAAGAACGGAGTGAATACTCAACCATCTGCCCCGTCCGGCGAAGTGGCCAAAACCAAAGTAACCCTATACACAAGATATCCGCACGGGTGTTTGAGATGCGACTGAACTTGATGAGTTCCCAAGGCTTCATGGCGGCAAGCGCTTGGTTCAACCTACGTTGTCGTGATCGGCGAAACCCAGCCCACGGAAAATGACTTGTAATTTAGACGAGGCTGATGTCGTGAGAGGTTGGAAGCTCAACAACGCGCGACCAGATCTGTTGCCCTGATTGTCGGCAAACCCATGGAATTAATCCTGGGCAAAACGGACTTCCGCCAGCTTTCAAATTCGTTCCCACGACCTTTTGGCCGCGACAATTGGATCAACGCCCACCCACAGAGTCACGCACGCTTAATCCTCTTCTTCCTCCACCCACCCCCCCAATGCGTCGCTCGGGTAGTTGGTGTAGAGTGACATGGGAGTGGCGAACTTGCTCTTGAACGCCAGCTGGTACGGCGTCCTGCGCAGCCCCATGTTCTCCCTCAAGTACGCATGGTTCAACGGACCTTTTGTTTAAAACAAGAACACCGGCAAAAACAACGGAAATGGTGTCTCTCGGAGCGTTTGGCGCAAAAAACGGGAATAACCGGCGAGCGATGAGAACACCAAGGACGCATACATCGGAATGATTCGTATTGCACTCACTTGTGATGAACATCATGGGTGTAACAGGGGGTGCGGCCTCCTCCTTCCCGTCCCCGTCGCCTGCCACTGCCGCCCTTGGTCTTCGCGCGATCACGTCCGCGGTCTCTAGGAACTTCCCGATACACTCGGGGTTCTACTCGCGCGCGCACAGCAGCACCAGCAGCAGTAGTAGTAGTAGCAGCAGCAGTAGTAGTAGCAGCAGCAGCAGCGCAACATTTTTCGAAAGAGTGAAACCTCGGGGAATGCTGGTTGGTTTATGGGAATGAATGCAGAATCTAGAGCGCGCACAACTTCGTGGCACAATTCACACAAGACGACATACTGCTCTTGATTGGTGTGCGGAGTTCCGGGCCATGTGGCAAGGGTCGTCGTTGATATGGACATAGGCTGTTGTTGATGCTACAGTAGATTGTCTTCTCGAGAAAAGGACTGTGTTCGAGGAAAGGCAAAACTAAACGCTCGGGTTGAACGTCTCGTCGCCTCTCGATGTATCGCGCTTGATTTTGTTGTCGGCGGCAACATTTAAACAAGGGTAAACGCTGCGGAAGCGTGCATAGAAACGAGCGAATAGGCGTGATAGAAACGAGCGAATATGGTTGCTGCGGATGTTGCAATATTCACAGAACGTGGCGGCCAACTCTCTCTTTCGTCGTTGCCCTTAAAACTCTACTCCACTGACTGTGATCACGCTGCCTGCCTCGCCCTGTCTCTTTTTCGCTCACCAAGTATGGCGGGTCCATGAGGATGTAGTCGACAGACCCTCGCAGATCGTCGGGTACCGCCAAAGGTTCGTTGAAATCGTAGTACCTTCATCGTATCCGTTGAGAACGAGATAGAGAGAGGATAGGGTGGGGGGGGGTGCCACTTAACGTTTGACGTGATGCGGGGTTGTGGTGACGGAGGATTCGTTAGCATTTCTGATGCTCTGCTGCTGTTGTTGTTCGCGAAACTGCAGCAACAGCATCGTGCGCATAGCGCCCCCCCGAACGTAGGAGAGTGGCCGGCCAGAGCCGATTTTGACAACCACCGCTAAACACAAGCGCCTAGATAAGACAACCCCGACTCTGAGTAGGCGCAATGGGCCGGACCTCATTCACCTACAAGTGACCACCCTATCTATGCACTGCCTAAAGCAAACAATTGACCAACCCTTCAATCGGACGATGAAAAATGGCGGGGAAACCCCAAGAACAATTTGGCGTGTCAACAAACATGGCGTCAAGAAAGTATCTGAAGGATCGTTTCCTGGAGGGCCTGCCGGCTAGGGAGATTCTTTGAGTGCGCGCATGAAGCTTGTTCGATGCCCTCTTCACTCACACGAAGGACTCTGGATACGCCTGGTCGAAGCGACGATCGTACTCGAAGATGTACACCGTCGCCCCGCCCCCCGCACCACAGGTCCAGCCGTCGGATTTTAACAACTGCAGCGGTGTCACGGTTATATGAAATACGGTGGAAGGAGGATAATCCGCACGTGTCTTCTGTGCATGCTGTCGTTCGCGGGATCGGAAGACGATGTCGTGCAACGTTGTTCTCAGCAACTCTCCAGAATCCTTGTATCTTTCGTATTTGTCGCTGGTCGCCTGGAGAAAACTAAAAAGAGAGAGGGCCTACCTTTTCACCCCGCTTCCAAGACATAATTACGTGTGCAAATGAGACAAAGTTCAATGCACTCATTCCACATGGAAAGTGTTTCGTCGAGCAGGACAACACCGACTGCCTCGCTGTTACCTTGATGCCGTTCATCACGGAAGGGGCGCTGATTATCGCGGCCTTTCCGCCCCGGGCCTCTCTCAGGACCTCTCTGGCCATCGCCCGCTGAGTGTCATCGTCGTACCTGGATCGTTCGCGAACGCCTTCGTAAAGTTCCCCGAAAATCAATCTTCGAATGGCGCAAGGAATAGTTTCCTAGAATACACAGCAAAGTAGGGTTTCAGTTAACAAAAGGTCGAGGACGAGCACCGGCACCGACTGCTGTCTGTTCACCTGCGTGGATGAGACAACCCGCCCAAGCGCAGCATTGGCCTCCGTGAATATTTCCGCCAAAGTGGGAACACACATGCTCAGTGCATTCTCGGGGAAGCCCGCCAACATCCTGATGGGCATTACTTGGGGTTTCGCAGGCGTTTGAGGGCAGCATCTTTCATGCGATAGCCTCTTCCGGTACACGGAATCAACCTTTTCCACAGAGCAACTACAGCAGTCTGATCGCTGTCAAAGCTACCTGTATGCATGGAAAGCACGACTCTTACCAAAACTGAGACAGGCCGAAGTCCTCGGTCACCAACGTGCCCTTCACTCCTTCGGAATCCGCCTCCTCGCCCTTCCGGGGCGCAACAACACGGGTACAAGGTGGGGGATGTTGTTATCAGTGTCGATCTTCTACGAGAGGCGTACGGCTGCGCTCTAGTTGTGGTTTGCATGGTTAAGGTTGTGGCAAAATGTCGAGTACCCGGGCGGACAAAGCGTATTCTGCGCTATGTGTCAGATCGCTTGGCTAAAGGATATGTTGGGCCGACTCGATTTTTCTCCCCACGGGGGCAAAGTGCTGGCGCGGAAAAAGGGTGGCGTTGGAAACATGTTGTCGAGAGCTTCCCGGAAACGTGAACGAAGCATTCGGTCGCTGGACACATACTTTTGCTGAGGTGATGTTCAAACCAGGGACGATTGGTGTACAATCTGAAGGGAGCCTGTGAGCCTGTTTCGTCTCGTTTCCCCCCCCCACCCGCGCTACGGGACTGTTAGCTGGCGGGACTGTCATCATTCCTCACTTTGAAAACTGAACACCTACTCCTCTGCTCTGCTCGCAGCAGCAAGCTAGATGTGCTAGAGTACAATCTGTGCTAGAATATTGGTGCCGGGGTCGTGTTGCCTGTACCCCTGCGTGTACTTCGTGTTGCGGATCAGGCCAGATGTACAACCCAAATCTACGCATCAAAGAATCTCCTGTCACCTCAGCCGCGCCCTTCACTGCAAGGTGCGCATTGAGCGCCGCCAAAGTATCAGCCGATAACGCATCGAGTGTGATCTCAGGAGGCTCGCCATCGCTGGAAGTGCTTGACGACCGGGAGCGAGACATCCTGCGCGTCTGGGGCTGTGAATGTGTGACTCAAAACAAAATCGTGGATGGATCATGCTTGTCCACGCAGCCGTGAGGGGGGGTCCAACTATCCTCTGTGTGCCCCCGCCGTTATCCCATTTGATATTTGTTCCCATTAGATATCCCACCAATCCCGCGCCCCCCACCAACCCTCAGCCCCCAACGGGCATCTATTATAGACGTCTAGACACCCCGTGGCGTACCCCTTCATTCCCCGCTTGTCCGCGGTTTGTTGTGCCGGGGTGGCTTGTTTGCGTGTGTTGCTGCCATTTTCTGGTCCTCATCGCGAGGACGTAAATATCAATGATATCACACAGAAATCGCGACATATTCGGAAAGCTCGATGTCCTCTTTCTTATCTACAGCAAAGAGTGGCGGGGTGTCGAAAATGTCGGCGTTGGAATCGGTCTCGTCTGGAGCTTGCCGAAAACGTATCGTTGTTCACATATGTCCTCTTCGTCGCGGAGTTATCGACGTTTCTTTGAAAGTGGCTCAAATGGGGGTGTGTGGTATCTCATCTCCCCTACCTACTGGTCGGGCTCCACGGCAGCGCGGAACAGGATTGATTCGGAGTTTGCTCGACGATGGGACCTGTGCCCGAGACGCATGCCCTTAGCGCTATCTCTTGCCCCACAAAGGCGACAAAATGGAGCCAATTCACGTGCCTGTCGCAAAGGCATTTCCTCTACTACTTCATGATGACAAATCCCTCTTCTTGCTGTCGTCAACGTCTCTTTAAATCACAGTGACCACTTCAGCAGAAGTCTGCTAAGCCTGTGGCGGTGAACACCCAGCGGTGAAAAACCACACTACAGAAATATCTCCTGTTTACCTACTTTGTACACATCATCAGTGCAGGCGCGGGCGTCGTGTTTTGTGGGGGTGGGAAAGTCCCGTAACGTCCAAAAACCCGAACATGCCAGCGACGAGGCACACGCGACAACGGGAGGGCAGGCACCGTCAGCCGTATGCCATGGCTTGTTGGAGTTCAGAGTCGCAAGAAGATCGTCTCGAAGAGCTTGGTAATCTCTTATGACTTGCACATCGTCTACATAGTTATCGCTTTATTATCGTCCACATACGCGTGTCGTTTTTTAGAGAAAAAGCTCTTTGACAACGCTCAACGCTTTTCCACACATGTTTCCAAAAGCGGAACTGCTGTGCTCACAACGGTGCGCGGCGTGTAGGCGGCAACAGCCACAACGCACCCACAACCGAATTGCCATTGTCAAGTGCAACAGGCATGCAACGGCCGCCACCAATCTCTCTACTCTTACCCCTCTCAACTGCCCTTTTCCCGTTCCCCTTTGCAATATTTCCGGGTTTGCTCGCTGAGGCCGTCAAGGGGCGCATCCAACGAGGTCACTACAAGCCCGAGCACTCCACGATGGGACCCTGACGTGTGAATATATCACACCGTTTGCCGGGAAACGAGTGTGCGCATCACGCATCCGGGTCCCCCCTTCTCTAGCACCTGTGCACGCGTTTCACGAAACGGAACGAAAAGAGTAACCCAGTGGGAGGAGAACTGGTGAGCAAAGAGAACCGGTGAGCAAACAGCAGTAGTGAATCGTATTTGAGCTCTTCCAAACGACAAAAAAACATCAGCAACAACGGAAAAATCGCAAACATCGAAAGAAACGTTGCGATACCGCACACACACTGAAAGCATCGAGAACCTATTATACTACGATAATAGTAGGAGGGAAAGAGAGGGGCTCCAACGAACAAATCAACCCCCCCCCCCCCCCCCCCTAATGCAAAAAAGTTTGGGAATAGAATTGGGGTTTTGTTGGTTGGGAAAGAAGTTTTAAAAAAGGGGGGCCCCGGCGGGGTTTGGCATTGGGGTTGGGGGGTTTTTGCTTGGGAAGGAAGTTTTAAAAAAAAGCGAATAATTTGTGAGGTTGGGAAACAAGGTAAAGGTTTTTTTTTGGCTCTGGTTTTTTTGGTTTTGGGGGAAAAAAGAAAGGGGGGGGAAGAAAATAAGGTTGGGGGGGGCGAAAAACCTTAATTCCCGAAAAAGGGAAAAAAGGAAGTTTGGTTAAAATGGGTAAGGACCCTTGAAGGAATTAAAAAGGGGTTTTAAATG